GTCTTGTAAAGTTATTCAGAGTTGCAAGATGTGGTTTAAATTCTAGGAAGTGCAGATGTCATGTAATGTAAGGGTTTGGAAGGTTTTTTGTTTGTTTGTTGGTGGGGATTAGTGGGTTTTTGTTTTCCTACCAGCAGAGCTCAGGCTGAAATCTGTGAAAACTCAGGTCTTTCACTTTGGATTGGCATTCAGAGTCAACAAATGCTCTTCAAGTATTCATCTGTGGTATCTGGTAGCTCATACTGGGAAGTGTCCTTTAATGAAGGGCCCTCCAATTTGTGAGGGGCTCCCATAAGTGTTTGGGAGCCAGTCTGCCGACTTCCAGAGTCAGTGTGATGCCTGAGGTTGGAGGAAGGGGAACACTCACTGTTTCAGCCTGTCATGTGGAAAAGAAGCAATAGAAAGAGCTGCTTTAGGGTAGAATAGTCCTTAGAATTGCAAACATCTGAGATGTGTGTTTTTCAAGGCTTGTCTTCCAATTACTTCAGTTCTTTTTGCCTTTCTTACTTGTATTAAGAACTCCACAGATCTTCTGTCGGGTGCTCACTGTTTGAAAACACGGCTTGTTTTTCTCTTGATGTAGGAGTCTGTGGAGCTTCCCCTCACCCACCCTGAGTACTATGAAGAGATGGGTATAAAGCCACCCAAAGGAGTCATTCTGTATGGCCCCCCTGGCACAGGTATGTGTAGCACCGTGCTGAGCTAGCCCTAGTTAAATAAATTGCACTTGCTTAGTATTAAACCACTGCCAAGTCTGTCACTGATTTCATACATTTGCTTTTTTTTCCTGCCTGCAGACTAATTACAGACTTTTTTGCTATTAAAAACAGGTAAAACTTTACTGGCCAAAGCAGTCGCAAACCAAACGTCGGCAACCTTCCTGAGAGTTGTTGGTTCAGAGCTCATCCAGAAGTACCTGGGCGACGGCCCAAAGCTGGTGCGCGAGCTGTTCCGCGTGGCTGAGGAGCACGCGCCGTCCATTGTCTTCATTGATGAGATCGATGCCATCGGTACAAAGAGGTGTGTGTCCCTCTGCTTCTGCAGCCACAGCCAAATCCAGTCTGAATTCTGGTAACCATTTCCACAGTAATGCCTTTGGCACAGGCAACTTGTTTTACGAGTTAAAATTCAAATGACTTCTTTGACACTGAAGTACACCACAACTTTTTCATATTAAATAGATATGGGCAGAGATCTGACCTCTTTTCTTTTGCTACATGGTACCATCACAGGATGCCTTAAACTGGAAGAGTCACTGTGTAAGCTAATGTGCTGTGCTTTCAGTGCATACCCAAATACAGTAACTGGCTGCAGTGGTTCACCTGCATAGCAGCACATGTAACACAGAGCGTGTCCACGTGTTGGGTATCTCTCCAGATAGGTAGCTACTTATTACAGTAAGTGTTTAGAATATTGTATGATAAGTAACACCATGTAATGTCATGGGTGTGGAATTTGATCAGCATTGCTCATGCCACATTAAGGTATCCTTCAGCCTGTAGCTAAGTTGTATTACCTTCAAAATTCCTTAGGCTCCTTGGAGCCATCCAATTTAAATAGTCTTTAAAGCAGTCAAGTGTTTTTCTTCAAGTAAATGAAGTGGTGCTCATATGTATTACTGCAGTTAGTAGCGTCAGTCTCCAGTAGAAGGGAGCTTCTGCCTCATGTATTTTAGCATATGTAGAACAGATGGGACTGATGGCAAGCACTCAGAATTCTTCAGAAATGTTTTTGTTGCTTCAGACTTGCTCACAAACACAAGTGAGGCTTTTTTGGATATAGATCACTTGGTCACGTATTTGCAAAGTGCAGTGACTGAACCAGAGGCACCAAAATGCATCCCTTGGCATCTGTATGCACGAGGGAAAACCTCTGAAATTTAGAAATGAAGAAGGCAAGTGGCAGGCTTTGTTTTCTGTCAAGCTGGCACGCTGCCTGTTAAGAATTAGGGTTTTTTTCTGTTATGTTTTTGTTCATTTGCTACGTCATAACTAGATCTGAAAACCTGCCTTTTGCTTTCTATGGGTAAACCCCCAAGAAAGCACAGGAAAACTGTTTTAACATATAACCCATTACGGCATAGGTTGTTGGGTTTTTTAGAGGCCATTTTGTTCGTTCATTTGTGGCAGATCAGTGAAGTGTGTTCTGAAGTTGGCATAATGCTTCTTCTGACTGTATTGTTCTCTCAAAGGTACGACTCAAATTCTGGGGGTGAGAGGGAGATCCAGCGTACAATGCTGGAGCTGCTGAACCAGCTGGATGGCTTCGACTCTCGTGGGGACGTTAAAGTCATCATGGCCACAAACAGAATAGAAACTCTGGATCCGGCTTTAATTAGGCCAGGTAAGGGGATTCTGGTCTGTTTAGGGCACTGCTCTTGTGAAAGGTCTTGTAGCTCATCAGACACGTGGGCTGGTCACAAGAATGTGTGTCAGTGCTTTGCCTTTAATCATCACTTCAGCTGTGTTAATGTGTCTGTTGAAAGCAGACCCCATTCACAAGTTTCTAAACGCGAGAAAAAATGGAGGTAGAATTGCATTAACTTCTCTTTATGTATAAATGACTCAAATATTCTTCTTTTGTGTTAAGATGGCACAGGTACTTTTTAATTGTTAAGAAGGCTAAATAATGGGGAGTACATACATTTAGAATCATAGATTTGTTTATATCTGCAGCAGCTGGGAAGGTAGGGCAGTACCAATTGCGGTTATCAGATGAGAACTTTGAACGTGGACAGTGAGATTTCAATGCAAGGAAACCAGTCTGCTTCCTGCCATACTCTGCTACCTGGGGGATGAATGAAAGAGAAATAACATCATATTTTGATGTATGTATTACGTGTTGCACAAAAAGCTCAAAAAGACTCAGGTTGTACTTTCAGATGGCCAGTAAAAATGTACAAGAACACAACCTGCATTGAGAGCATTTGGGTCTGTTAAATCAGAAGTAAAAAAGCAATGCAAGGAGTGAACTAAGCAAGCCTCCTGGTAGCATTCTTAAGTAAATCTCAACTACTGGAGGGTGTGAAGATACTTTTCTTTTTTTCTTCTTGGGTAGCAGAGGTAAGACAGAGAACAAATATAATTCAAGTTGAATTTATTAAAGAATGCCTCTGTGCAGTCAGTGCTCCATATGGACCCAAGGAGTTCAGAAGAAACACCTGCTGAGGTGCTGTTCTGTGCTTTTTTAAAAAGTTTTTGTCACCATCGTGGCCTTACCCTTCATGTCAAGAACAGTTGCGTGAGTACAGAGCAGAAAATACTATACTGATGTTGAAAGACAAGCTATAGGGTACTGTGAAGCTAACTGGAAGGGAATTTCCATGCTGTACCATCTATTTAAATTATTACTGTCGCTTGAGCAGCCATGGCACTTCCAGCAGCCTGGTAAACTCATTTACCATTGTGTGGGTTTGTCTGGTGCGCTGCATCTGGCGCCATTGACTGCTTTCAGAAAAGATAACGTAAAGGTAGAGAAAAACAGGCACAGTGTGGAGATGGAAGATACCTTTGACAAGTATGCTTACAAAGTTGGAACCATGGGAGCTGGAACATCTCAAGTCCCAACTGACAAAAAGGAAACATCTGGTAGGAACTTCCAGCAGAATTTCTTATGCAGAGCTTTCTTTCTTCAGTTCAGTTTAAGGGTTCTTCATAACTGATCAGTTTCTTGTGTAAAACGTGATTGATACTGGCGTGAAGATTGTTGCTTTCAGTCCAAATTTGAGATGTTCTTCTGGCTCCATTTCCAGTAGCTGCATGCAAAAAGAAAAGCCCTAAGAGTGAATTTTTCTTTTGCGCAGGGCGTATCGACAGGAAAATAGAGTTCCCTCTGCCTGATGAGAAGACCAAGAAACGAATCTTTCAGATTCACACCAGCAGGATGACATTGGCAGATGATGTGACTTTGGACGAGCTGATTATGGCAAAAGATGACCTCAGTGGTGCAGACATTAAGGTGGGTGTTTGTCACCGCCGGCTACAGTTCAAAACATGAATCCCATGAGTACTGTATCCCAGAACTTTGTATGTTGAAACTTTCCTCTTTCCTCTGGTAACATCCCCGGGGGTCATTTGGATCGCTCTAAAATACCTCCTCTGAGTGCCCCATACTCAGCTTGACAAATGGGAAACTGTTACCAAATAGGTCATTATCAGGCAGCTTGTGCTGATAGAAATACATACGTGTGTTAGCTGAATATGAAATTCTGTAAGAAGCAAAGTGGAAATCAGAAGTGGAATCTTGCAGAAGCATCCAAGATGATGTTAATCATTACTTTAAGATAATACAGGATAAGAAGCATTTTTAGGACAACATTACAAGCAGGTAAAAATGCAGTCATAGATGAGGAAGGTTGAAACAAGCAGCTCCTGTATGTGAAGTGAACAGGGCTCTTGTTAGAGTCACCTCTTGTAAAATAGAACAGCCCACTGCTGAGAGCTGTTCCTGGGGAGGAGGGAAATGGTATTATTACAGCGCTGCCTTTCGTTTGCCATGGATGCTTTACCTCACAGAGAGACCTCTAACTTTGTCCACATTGTTTTATGTGCTTCTTTGGAGCTACTGACTCATATCCAAAATGGAAGCATTTAAATTGTGCTGTCGATCTTCCAATACTACAAACTCAGCAGAATTTTCATGTAGCTCAAACTGTCTTCCAGGGTGTTGTTTGAAGGGCTGCAGAGCCAGTAACTTGTTTGGCTTTCTCTGTTGCAGGCAATTTGTACAGAAGCTGGGTTGATGGCTTTGAGGGAACGGCGAATGAAAGTAACAAATGAAGACTTCAAAAAGTCTAAAGAGAACGTTCTCTATAAGAAGCAGGAGGGAACCCCAGAGGGACTGTATCTTTAAGTCTTGTCTGTTCAGGGTCTGTTGGGAACTCTGGTTGGGATGACAGTCTCATGTAAAACCACATAGTCCAGCTAACGCTCGTTCTTGAGGTTATAAAGCCTGGCGGTTTGTTTCTCAATAAAACATTTATTTGAATGGAAGTACTTTGGAGGCAAGAGGAGTTACTGACACAGTTGTTCAGTATACAGAACGCAGTCTTTGCTGTGGAAACTTTCTGTGGGTGCAAAACGCGGCGGGTGACAGAAATGAGGAGGTTACACATGAAGCGTTGCAGTGCTGTGACAACAATGGCAGCAGCAAGGCCAAGAGCTATTGGTTTTTCATGTTACAATTATGTGATTTATTGCTAAAAACTAACCCTATGTATGACTGGAGATGTATGCATGTGGACAAGAGGAAACCTGAAATAGAGTTGTTTTCAGCTGTAGAGAAAGAGGGGAAAAAAGGAAGGCAAAAAGTTGTGTTACCCATTCTTGTGAACCTGAGGTGTGTCTCACTGGGAATGAGAAGCCAGAGAGTTGTTAGGCAAGCACTTTTTTATTGTGACAGCTGGCCTCATTATGGCTTGTGGAGCTCAGGGGCTTTATAACCTGTGGTAAACAAGGCTGTACTTTTTATTTTGGGGGGGGAGGGGGGTGGGATTGAGAGGAGGAAGGGGGAATGTGGTTGTTAGTGCTGGAAACAACCACCACAGAGGGGATGGTGCAGCTGAGAAGGGAAGCTGCACTGTGTTGTGCTAAATCTAGAACTGCCTTCTTGCACACTGAATGCCATGAGAAGAAGCAGCATATGTTTGAAAAACTTAATTCCTACCTTTTGCAGCAGAATTTCTGCCTCTTTATCCAATATTTTGGAACTCAAGGAAAAAAAAAGATTAAAGTAATAAAGCCAGCATGTTCCCCATACAGGAAAAAAATATAGCAGGTCTGAATTGAAGGCGGGACTTAACTTCAGGGGCTCCGGTGAGTGAGCAGCATGAGCAGTGCACCAGGAAGAACCGTGCTAAGGAGGAACAGGACCCCTGAGAGGGAGAATGCATGGAAGAAACAGGTGACTGAAAAATAAACAGAAGCACAGCTGTGCTGCCCTTCTCCCCCTTTCTAGAACTTCAGAGGAAGTGGCATTCTGCTCTGATGGGAGAGCAGAAACAAGTTAAACATCCACAAGTTTTGATTTGGTGCACAAAATAATTCCTACCTCCATTTCAGGACTCCTTGGTATATGAGAGAAGTGTTGAATTTAAAAATAACAGACTTCAGGGCACAGTTAGCTTCAGCTGGTGATTGAGCACCTGGTGAAGGGCTGTGGCTGCTCAAGGAGCACGGGCAAATTGTTCACACCTGTGCTCCCCATGTGACCAGGAGGGGTGGAACCAGGGAGAAGCCCTGGGCTCATGTAAGGGCCACCTTCTGGAAGGGCAACAGCTCTTGTACTTTGGCTGCTGCTGGTGGAGGATTGCTGAACGGCCAGAGAGCCTCCTCTCCAGTTAGGTGAGTTCCTTTCTTCTTTCTGCATATGACTGTTGGCCTACCTGGGAATGCTTTGCCTGGTATTGCTAAGAACTTCTCAGAAGCAATTTTGCTTCTTCGTAAGCAGAATGCATACTTTTTAATGAAGATTTATAGCAAAACCAGCATCACCTGGAGTACCAGGTTATAAGGCTCCTAGAAAGTGCTGTGATGCTATTTAAAGTTCTGCACGTTCCCTGTAACATTTAGAATACTTTTAGAAAGACGAATACATGAATCGTAGCCTCATCTAACACATCCCACGCTGTGTTACTACAGGTAAAGGTGAGGTTGAGGCTGCAGGACTTCATTTTCCATGTAATTGGATTTCAGCAGCTGAGCATCTCCTGTTTGTTTCTGTGCTCTTACTGCCAGTTGCTGCTCTTGTCCTAAAACCTTCTGAAGCAGTTTGGGGCGCTCAGTAGCTGCAGCTACTCTGTTTCACACGATGCTCTAACTTCTGAGTACTTGAATGTCAAGACAGGGATGCTTAATGCAGTTGTTTGGGTACTTTCATATATTGTCTTACAGAATGAATACAGCATAATTACATTGTTAAATCATTACCTTATTTCATACTGCTTATCCATGAGCTTGCCTAAAGTTTTTTGGAATAGAAGCTAGTCACTGAGGATGTGCTTTCACAATTCTACTTTCTTTGGACAGGATTGAATACAGAACAGACCTTTCTCTTACGATAACTGCTTAGATTTGCATTGAGAGAGAGTAATCAATTATACAGTCTTGATTAAAAATGGGCTGCATTGAGATGTTCTAGAGATACAATTTCATTTTAAAATTCACAATAAGATTAAGAAAAAATAACTCAAGTTCCATTTGAATTATAAAAATTAAGGTATGTATTTCATAAATATTCATATCAAAAGCCATTTGTCAAAACATTCCAATACAAGTCCATAACAGGCGTCTTTCGAAGATGAGATTTGGCTTTTACCAACTGTTCATGAACAGATGCAACTTGCTGTGACTTGGTACTTAAATACACGTGCGTACCAAACTGGAGGAAATTACTGGGGTCTGCCAACTGGAAGAGTGGGGTACCTGAGGGGCAGATGTTTATTTCCTGCCTGGCTCACAAGGTGTAGTTAGCGCGTATGGAATCTCTGCTGAACTCTAGGGAATGTAACTTCAATCAATGGAATAAGAAATGTGAGCGGTGTACAACAGGACTGTGTTTGTAAGAGGGTTTATAAGAGAGAATCCTGTGGAAGTCAGCGCTACTTCAGTGAATGGATGCATTTTTGTGGGCTAAGTGCAGTTCTTGATCCCGGAATGCTTGCAGCTAGAACTCCATTTTGGTAGCAAGTTGTACAAAAGCTTGAGGAGAAGTAGACAATACTCAAGTCACAACAGAGTTCTTGTTTGAAAAGAGTTCTAAGTGTTAGCGTTAGAACTGGCTTTGTATTTTCTTCATCCTTATCTTCTCTTAAACCTCTAATAGTAGATCCAGCTCTTCCATAGGTACCCGCACTCTTAATTCTTTTTCAGTCATGAGATCAAGCGTCTCCTGCAGCTGCTCAGGGAAGTATTCCACTGCGTCCATGTAGAGTACCTAGAGAGGCAGTGTGGGAATGAGAACTTGCCATCTTTCTGTCAGAGCAACACAGACAGGGGAAGCAGGCAGACACGCAAACAGCCCTGGAGCCCTGTATACAAGAACAGTTGCATTTTAACTTGCCTATATGCTTCTGCTACTGCTGTGCTTATGTTAAATTTGGTTTGCAAGACTCAGCTGCCTCTGGGTCACACAGAGAGGACTGTTATCTCCTCATCTCATGCAGCACTTTTCGGTGCTGATTGTTATGTTTGTCTGCATTTCGGATGTTTATCTTTTGCAGGAAGTCTTACAGTAGTTCTTCAGAAAGGTCTACTTTCATTTACATGTTGGTCATTATGATAACTACTAAATTATTACTTTAAAAAAAAATACAACTTCAAAAACTAGAGTGGTAACAGGCTTTTTTATTCCTATGCTTACCTTTGCCCAAGGACAGCTTTGAATGGCTTTATAAAACAATCCTTTACTCTTTTCTTTTTTTCCAACTGAAACCTGTGTAAGGAAAAAAGTGTTCACGTTTCCATACAGTCATGGCTGAAATAACAGAACAACTATTTTAGACAAGGACATTACTACTGTAAAGCTTGGTGTTCCTCTACTGAGGAGCCCTTACAGCTACAAATAATAATAGCTGTACCGTTGGATCGGTCACGCTGCGCAACTGAAGATGTCTGAAGGGGGTTTCTGTGCAAATTCACAACCCACAGCTTCCACCACAGGAGCATCTTTGGTACCACAGAGGTGATAATGCATTCCTTTTGTGCACTGGTGTGTACTTCTCAGTATGACTGTTAAGGTTGGATCCCCTTACATATGAAAATGAGCAAGTTAAATGGCATGTCTGGAAGGAGTCACAACTTCTCCCTCGATCTATTCAACTATTTGATAAGGAAAACACAGCTATGAATTTTTTCAAAAAGAGGCAGAGAGATCAGAATGCTGAGCCAGTCTGCTTAACTTCAGTCATTCCAGTTATGGGTAAAAGCATTTACAGTCCCTTGAAATTTTTTGAGTTGGGCTGCTTTGAAAAACACCTTACAGGTATGGGATTTTATGACAACTCCAAAAAAAACCAATAATTCTAAGACACCAAAGATACACCAATTGTTTTGAGATGTTTGGAGAATAAGGGCTCTTCAGTCACAAGCTTACATTTTCTCTTGCTCTGACTGCTGCTGAAAACCAGATTCCATGTCAGTTCCTAAAATCCAGAAATTCTTTCTCGTATCACTGACACATTGCTTGCAGCAACTAGTTCTGGTGTCCTGTTCTCTTTACTGAATTCTTTACTGAATAGCAATGCGTTTCATTACTGGAAGCTCCACTCTCAGAGCTGTGCTAAAATCTGGCTGAACTGCTGGCTCGGTGCTGCCGTTGAGCTTGGAAAGAGCGGGCTCAGGAGGATCTTGGCACATACAACTAAATGAATGGAGGCTGCAAAGAGGACTAAGGCAGCTCTTCTCAGTGGTGCCCAGTGCCAGGACAAGAGGCATTGGGTACAAACTGGAACACAGGAGGTTCCATCTGAACATCAGGCAGCGCTTCTGTATATGTGCCTGAGCACTGGCAAAGGTTACCTGGAAAGGCAAGAAATTGCTAGCACCTATATGAAACCACATTATCAGAAGCTATCACTCCTTGTAATTCGTATGAATTAAGTTTTCCTTAATACTGCAAACAATAAGCAGCATTATAATTCAAAAATGTAACACCTTGAAAACGACATAAGCAGCGTTCCTTTTTTCCTGTGGTACTGTATATACTGTGCTGATGAGAAATTCCAGATATGATAACTACAGTAAAACTGACACCCTCTTCTTACCAGAAAGTTCAAATACATTCTCCACAGCAAGGGACAGTGGGTGCCATTTTCACTCTGAATCGCATGTTCAAATAGAGAGATAATCCTATTTGTTAACCCAGTTTCAGGAATAGTGGTATGTATTTCACCAACATCTGCCCTGGAACACAGAGGGGGGGAAGAAAAACACAGTCACTTAAACACAAGCTAAAGACCACATCCAGATGAAAGAGGGTAGAAATCAAGGCACTGTCTATGCATAGGGGTTTGTACTTCAGGCTATAACCTCTGAATGTTATAAAACATATCTGTGGTACTCACTAATCCAATCAGTGATTTTTCTAAGTAGAAACATCCATTAAAAGCAGATAAATTAAAGAATTTTTCTGTATTCACAGAGCAGCTCCTTCAAAGGGAGTAGAAAATTTCTCTGAGAGCAATGATCTGCTATCATCTGATCTTAAACCACTTATCTTTAGTCTTCATTCAAGATGATGCATCCTTTGAAATTTGGCACAGCAACCCAAATTTGAGCCCATGTCGGCAAGCTGCCTTTTGATGTCTGTTCAGATTCACCACTGGCACCTTTGTTTTGGATCAAGCCCTGGGTTACAGCTCTGAATCTCAACTGTGATTAAGTAGAAAACCATTTTATTTTTCACAGTTTCAAATCCTACATTTTCCAGACATAACAAGAGGGGTTTGTTTGTTTGTTTTTTAGCAATTACTTTCTACCTACAGCTGATACAGACTGCCTTATTTTTGATGTTTGCATTGAAGGAAGGAGTCTGCAGCACTTAGGGCAGTCTCACCCTGTGTGTTTTCCTTGACTCAGAGGTCATCTCTCTACTCTTGCAACATCCAACTCGTCTCTATAGAAGTGTGATCTATGGGAACAGCTACACCAACAGAGAATGATCCAGAAAAGAACTAAATGTCACAGAGAAAATAATCATTCTGGGATTTTAACATGGGTTTCCAGTAACAGTAATGAAAACCCATCACACTGTCGGTCTGTAATTAACAGCAAATCAAATTATAATCCTACTTTACATCTGATGGCTGTAGAATTCTAATTACAGTTTAGGATCACACTCACTGACTGCTCAGAAATGTCACTGTCATGAGTGCATGCCTGTTGCCAGACTATGGCAAAGCATGAAGTGGGCACACTTGTTTCAATGCATACTGATAACTCTGTAATTTCATGAAGTGCTAATATGGGAAGCTTACAGCTGTGTATGTTCAAGATATCATTTTCCTAGAAATTTCTGCTTCTATGGGAAACACAAAGAACCAAGCTGCCAACACTGGGGTATGTAGGTAGCACTAGAAAGGTACCTCCCAGTGATAAGTAGACAAGTTCAAGTTAAGGAGACCGAGTTTTAAGAATAAACACACACTTCTATTCCTCACAACTCCAACCCTTTCTTCCTTCCCCAAGAAAAAATATCTGAGTCCAGACCACACTGCAAATTCTGGAAATTTCCAGCCTCTTCCACCTCGTAACAGCCCCGTATGAGAACTGTACTCTCAAGCACTCACTCTGGAAACAGATCTACCACAACTGTGGTGTGACAAAGAAGTGAAGTAGGGCTGTGAGCTCAGCAAGAGGCCGTGATGCAGCTCTGTGTTACAGTACTTCTTGCTCGATGTACTGAAATGCAGCCATCTCTAAGCTTATGTCTGTTTTGACCATCTGAACAGATAGAGCTATTTAAAAGTTACTTAAAGATGTGCACCATCCTGCTGTCAGTGCTAAGTAGCCCAACACAAGCGATACACCATCTGATCCAGCAGAAAGGGCATAAGACTAAAATCTAGGCCTGTAACTCTGTTCAGGATTCTGTCTCACTGTCCAGCCTTGGACAAAGAACCCTGCTTAGTCACAGATTCTTCATCTGCAAAATGAGAATGATAGTAGTGTTTCCTCTCCTCTGTAAAGCAATCAGATATGTTAAAAGAAAAGCATAATCATAATGAGCTGCAAGATATTACCTCTGGACATTCTCAATAAGTTTTTTTCTCATCTGCTCTGCTTGGATGGCAAACAGCCACGGCTCTAAAGAGTTAGCAGACCTTGTGACACCATCGAAAAACCTCCGTGCCTTGCTAGCACTGTGAGACTTCTTCTGGCTCTGGATGTATGCTCTCCATAGAGCCTGGTTGCTAGGAAACTGTTTGAGGGCCTCTGTTAGTGCTTCTCGCAAAGGACTCAAAGGATAAGCACTAATTTTCATGTGGAATCTGAGTAAATTTGCACGCAGCAGTGTGACAGCCTCAAGAGCAGTGGGAAAATGCTGAATGCTGGAAGTCTCTGCAGTATTTTCACATTTCTGTACATGAGAAGCTTCAAGCTTTTCCAAAGCCTGTGCACACACTAATTCAGCAGCATCAATTCCAACAGTCAAATACTGGAACACTGCGTAACAGCCAACTAAGTTAACCAGTTGATTAGAATTACTGGCCCGATCCTGCTCAGAAACCGGTGCCTTACTGAAAGAATCTTGCAGTGCATGCTCGTATGTCTTACGAGCTTTCAAGATGCCAACAGACAGCACTTGTCCGTTGTAGGGCACGTATGGTCCGCTTTCAGTCAGTTTGGTCAACACGTGAACAGCACGTGACGTAACAGCTCCTTCTAGGCTTTGCAGTAGCTCCACTTCCAGCTGGGCATAAAGCAGACTGAGGCTGCACAGCTGGGGACTCTTCAGTCCTCCCGTCCCTGCTGTGCAGAGGGCTGTGTCAAACACCTTCCTAGCATCGTCAGTGTTACCAAGCAGCCACTCCAGGTAGGCGTAGAGTTTCCAGAGAGCGAGGTTATTTCTGTTGTCAGGTGCTTTAAGGAGATTCTTGGCCAATTTTTTACTTTTCCTCCCTTGAGCTTTCAGCTTCTTCTTCTTTTTTGTTTGGATACACTGAACTACCTGCAGGGGAGAATAAGCAGAACGTGTTCTGAGAGAGGTGAGGAAACAAAAAATATACTGTGAGATTTGGCCGTTGTTTTTATTTCATCGCTGTCTTTGATTTCACATCATTCTGCATTTCACCACTGGCCAAATCTGATGCTATTGAGTAAAGCTGTCAAGAGTTGTGTGTCAACAGCTCCCTTCTACGCACCCAAATTATGCAGGCTTATGATTCTTGTGCCTGCCACTGCATACATTAAATATTATCAAATGCCACTCCTTTCAAAGGCCAAACAGTCAAAAAAAAAAGGAGCTGCTAATCTGCAGTGGTCCAGAACAAAATATGAGATGCAAGTAGAAGCAACTTATGACCAGCACAATTAAACCTTCAAGTAGCTTTCACAGCAGAAATATGTTTTTGGGAAAAGCCTGCAGGTTTCATTGGAGACTTCCTGGTTAGGTAGTCTTTGGGCAAGAGACAGGGAACTTCTCCATATGGTAAACACAGCGTTAAAGTTTCTTAAAGGTTAGGACAAACTTGACTTCAGTGGGAATCTATTTGAACAGTGTTACGTAACTAAATGCATGCTCAAGTGATAAGGAGTTACTTCCTCCAATAACACTGCAATTGTAACTCACACAGGAAGTCATACACCTTATCACCTTATCCTGATAGGGTGATCATACCATGGTACTGGGGAATATGCACTTTGAAGAGCACTGATGAAAGTACTTGGCTCACACACTCTGCCTTGTAAAAAATGATTTGCATCCATTCTTGCCTAGCATATGAAGTATCTCATAGCAGGAGACAACATACTAACATCCATCCAAGACTGCAACAAATATTTTATTCCATGAAAATATGTGTCCATGTAACACAGACTGAAGAACAGGGTTTGTTTCTTTTCTTTTCTTAGTTGGCATTTACTACTTTGAATACCCAGTCCTATAAGACTTAATTTTCCTCAGTACTTATTTTACTCAGATGTAAACACACAAGAAAGTTACACAGCATAAAAGCAATTATATGCAGATTCCTCCTTACCTTAGATATTTCATACTGTAACCAACAAATGGACAGGTTTGACTTTTCCTTTCCTGAAAACAATGGAGATAGAACGTGAAAAACATTCTGTATGAACTCCTCTCCATCTTTACAGTGGCCTATGTGATGTCTCCTCCTTAGCATCGTGTCCATATGACCAATACTGCTGAATCCAGAAAGCGGCGTATCAATAGAAGTCAGTGGCTTTTCATCAGAAAGCACGTTGTCAAAGACATTATTTTCATCCATGGCAACATAGAGGTTGGGAGGAAAGAGCTTACTTATACATGGAACTCCCAGGAATTGCAAAAATGAATACACTAATTGATGCTGAATGTCCGGATTAGAAAGCTGGATTAAAGACGGCCCAAGATCATCAAATAATACCTAAAAATAAAATTAAAAACAAACTCAGTTAGTTTATGCAATCAAAATTCAACAAACCTGCAACTTAACTAACTAAAGAAACTTTTGAAGCCAAAAAGGATTTATAACTACTATTAAATAGTAAGGAATTTGATTCAAATTAAAAACAGGTCTAGAGAAGATACTGATGAGGCCATTTAACACATTTTTATTTGAAAATCAATGTTTGACTTGACCCAGCTCCCAAGAAGAAAAAGTTTCCAACTATGTGACTTGAAGCTAGCTGCAGGCAACAAAGCCTTTGTTTATTTAGTGCAGATATCTTTTTAAACAGAAGATCTGTGACATTTCTGATCTGTAACAGATGAGGGAAACCACAGAACACAAAGACAGACTGTTTGCCTACAGCCCTTTCCTAAGTTTACCATAGCATCCCCAACAATTTCAGCAGAGTCAGCACCAAACCTCAGGTGAATTTTGAATTACAAACAATTAAAAAAAAAAGAATTACTCCTTTAAAAATACCCATTGGCAATGAACTCAAATGCAAGGGTAATTTTTTAATCGCCCCTTGTTTTACTTTGCTATAGTGACCTGTCTTTCTGGATCTTCACAGTCTTCTTCTGCTTGATTTTTGGTTTTGTCTGGCCTCCAAGGTAACCAATGTCTTGATTCACGAGAATATTCAATATCCATCCAAATGTGCCACTTGGGGAGAGTTTTATCCTTTATTTCTTCATCCTCATCTATTTCTTCTTCATCATCATCGTCTAAAAATAAATCAGGGCACGCCCCACAATGCACCATTATTAAAGAAAAATTAATCTACCAAATCTATTTGACATACAATGTAACTATTTACAAATGTAAACAAATACAGTGCTAATCAAGCAGACATACGACAGTGCTGAACATTTTTACATCAGAGCTCTGGGCTTTGACACCAACTCTGTACTGTTTCTAAACTTTTTGAATGAGTGAATCAATGTCAGCATTCAAACTTTCTCATAGAGAATAAAATTAAATGCCAGCAGGCTGTGGGATACTCGACAACAGCAGTTTACAACCAGCAGCCAAGAGCCAGCAGCTACCTTTTCATGCAGTGCAGGTTCTTCACTTCATACCTTCATACCTTAGCGTGCTATCTCAAATGTGTTTTATGAATATTCATGAGAAAAATGCTGTAAGTAAAAAATATTATTATGATGTCAAACATTAAAAACAATGCTTGGCAATGTTGCTTTGAAATATCTTGTATTTCAAAATTGTAAGCAACGTGTAACAGAAACCAATGTGGTCAAACAGATACAAGAAGAAGTGTTTAACCACAGCCTTTTTTTTTTTTAACCACATTTGCTGATCTTAGATCTTAGACACTTAGATGTTACTGGAGTATTTTTTCTGTGACAGCACACCTTAATTTTGTGCTGTAACTGATGAGCACTTGTAAGTTAAAGAAAAGATGTATCTGTTTAAGAAATAGTCTTGACATGAAGGGAAGCACTGCAGATGACAGGACAGGGTGGGACTAAGCAGCAAGGAGGTGTTTTTTGCATCCCTTGTTGAGACAGCAACCTTCACTTCTACATGTTGCCTGCCTCAGAAGCACTCCAGTCAGAGGAAGAAGCAATTCCTTTATTCTCTGTGTCACACAGAGAAAGGCAAAGTTTTCCTTTTATTGCTATTCCTTTTATTGCTACTATTGCTACTATTATTTGCTGTAAGAAACCAAACTCATATGCTCCTACAATTAAACTAGGAAATGCATAGGCAACTATCATCTAAATAATATAATCCTAGCTGCTCTGTGATAACATAGTGTTAAGAGCTTCCTTTTACTTTAGATGGGCACAGGTCTGAACCAAACAGTCATGCCTTTCAGAACAGACTGCAGGATGTCCCTTCCCATCTCCCTCCTTTCTCTTCCCTAGGAAGGACAGCAGCATTCCATAAACAATAGGGGACATAAAACACTCAGACACATTTTTGAAGTGTGATATAGTTCATCTTGAGCTTGCTAATGCTTCTATGCAAAAACATGAGAAGAAATAGCTTGCATCATTCTAAATGAACTTTTTAGAAGAACACAATGACACACAACTACACACTGATATGGGCGTACCAGGATTGTCAAGAGCAACCCAGCCACCCTTTTCTTGTTGGTGCATCCATGCTCTCCAGCCTCTTGCTCCTTTTTCTCCAATTCGTGGTTCTCCACTATCCCAAAAGGGTTCAAAGAATTCCACCTGTTGTTTTTGGGCAGGGGAAACAAGAACAGAACATATTTAGAAAAATAATTTTTGCTATAATACAGACACTGACTAAATCAACGTTGGTTGTATCTGAAGTTTTTGTTAGATGCTGCTTAACAATCTGCAGCAACTCAAATCCTTTGGTTACACATGTGGCACAGCACAGCTGTCGTCAGCTGTGCTTATTAGCATAATGAGCATTTTGAAAAGGTATTAAGCTTTACAGAAAGCAGAAGACTTTTTTTTTTTTTTTTTTTTTTTTTGTCAAATGTCCTTTGCAGATTCTTCAAGGATAAGGATCTGAAGTCCTCAGGATGGGGCTCTCTGAACCCAAATTTTCCCTCCTCACATCTTTTTTGGATCCATGAAGAAATTGGTTCAAGCAGCGATGATTCAGATAACCACACTGCTATGGTCAAATCAAAATGCTACAGTCAGACACAAACGAGTGGACTGACATCAAGAAGAAAAGATCAGTTAATCATCTCTCATGTTTCAAGATGATCAACAACCTTAGGGCTTTTTTCAGTGAGTCAAAAGTCCATGGTTCTGAGCCTAACTCTGTCACTGCCTATATGCAATCTTCTCCTCTTTAGATTCAACTCCTACCCCAATTTCTGTATATTTAGCTCTTACTACCATCTCTTCTATTACATGCTTCTACTGTGTACCAAACCTTGGAATGGACATTGACATGGGACTCGAATACAAATGTTAACAACAAAATTTACTCTAAGAAAAAGTAAGCATCAACATATCAGAAAATGCAGGGTTTACAGCAACTGCAAAATCTAATTTCTGGTCCTTATGGATTTATTCTTTGCACCAAGTGAGAAAGTGAATTGCAGAAACAGTACGGAAACAATGAATTCAAGACTGAGTCATAATGTTTCTAAAAGAAGGCAGAGTTAAAGAGGTTCCACCAACTGTAAATCTAGCATTTTCTTATTTTCAGTAATTGCACTTCCCCGGCCTAGATACTGTCCTGTTAATTCTGATTTGTTCCATCTGCATTCTTATGACTTTCTGAACACTACAAATAATCACACCATTTTTTGTATGATTGGAAGTGTAACTCAGTTTTTGTGTGTGTGTAACTACACCAAACCTACCATCCTGCACAATAACTGAAGTCTAAACTTCTGGCACTTTAAGAGGACGCTGGTATTATCTAAACTCCAAGATGGCTTCCCTGGTAGTCAGTGGTGTTAATTTAGAGAACAAAAAAATGGTAGCTAAGTAGCAGATGCTAGAGAAGGTGGGGTAATAAAAGGATTTTTAATATTACCCAATTTTTGTCACTTACAGCAGGCTAACTGCTTAGCTGGTGCCTCTCTCCACCACTCATTAAAAAGGAAGTGGCTCCCAGCAAATCAGTGGGAGGATGCTATGCTGGCAATGGCCCACTCTCTGAATAATAGCTGACTGTTACTGGGGCCTGTGCCTAACAATCTCCTGAGCAAATCTAGAGAGAAGTGATTAAATACTTACATAGGATGTGCTGAATGGAATATCATGGGAAAACTAAAAGATGTTTTAAAGCATGAAGATGCTCCCCATGTAAATGTCAAAGAGTTACTGAGAACATATAAAGGAGAACCTAAGAAAGGCTACAAGAACTGTCTAGCACAAAAAGCTCTAATTTATAGGTCCTATCAGCTTTCTCCATCAACAACAGTAACAAGACAACAACAGGCTACTCTGGGAAAAAGTAGGAAAGCACTAATACCCAGACTTTGGTCAGCCAGCTGAATTTTCTCCATCTTTATTAGTAAGAAAGAGGACAAGAAATTACTGGTTATTTCACTTCCATTATGTATAGTGGAAGCATCAGTTTGACACACAGTTTCAGAGGACCCACAAGCATTTTTCCAATGCAGGCACCACCTTGAAGAACCACAAAGAAAGCTGTGATTCAAAATATTTTCCCCAAGTCCCTAAATTTCACCAATATTTTTCGGCCACAGCATTCTCTGTAATGCACAAGGACATAAACACGTTTGAATAGAAATTGCTACCTGTCCCTTTGTTGGCAGATCTTTTACGCTGTCAGGTTTAAAGAAGGTGAAGTCAATCAGAGCCTGAAACAAAGACACAGCCTTCTCCGAATGGCCAGCTTGTCTCAGAAAGTGGCACTGCTGAATAAAGATAGCTGCGAAGTAAAGGAGATGAAGAGTTAATATTTCAAAGAGTTTTGTTGTGAAGTATTTTATTACAGCCCACAAAAATACAAAACCCTAATTGGAGTGCTGTGCGGTGTAATTGTTCTGGAACGATACCAAAATCCAAAAGATGGGAATAACTGGCATCAAAGCATGTCAAAACTGTTGTAGCCTGATCAATCTGAAATCCTCTCAATTTCATGTTTAGATACACACATAACAATCTATGTTTATGTAACTGATTCTGATCCTTTTGTCTATCTATTTATATTAAGAAGTGGCAAGCTTCTTACCCCTTTCGTCTTATATTCAGATTTACATCAGATGCATGCATACAGAACTTGGAATTCAGGTAAAACATACAGACCAGGTGTTTAAATAAATCGTCCTGCAGAGCCACCAATTGTTTCTGATAAAGAAGAAAGACTTAAAGAGATTCCTGAAGGTATTTAAACAACAAGAAGTGTGTGTAATGCACCTAACAAACTGTAACCAGTGCAGACAATTTTCCCATCAATTCTGGTATTTAACTGCCACGGGGAAAAAAATGTTGTTTCCTAGCTAATGAAGTTTGATTAAAATTTTGTGATGAAAGAGATTACTTCATTGGGTCCTGCTGCTAAACAGAAGGCAAAAATAAATGATAAGCTAAGATTTTCTGTGTGATAAAAAAAACAACACATACTTGAAGCAAAACAAAGATGAGCATTTTTTGGTGGTAAATACTGAAGACATCATGAATGGGTATTTGGTTCACTCCACAATGCTAAGACCCTTCTGCAGAGGAACCTAAAAGATACGGATGTTTCTGCCCAAACCTCTACATACAATTTTAGAAGTAGGACTCCCTTCCCACAGAAAAACCCAAGAATGCTTATTTTCACTTGCTTTACATTCAGGGATCCCAGTAAATTTAAAATGTAACAAGTTCTATTAAACAGTTTGAAAACTGGCCTATAATTTTAAAACAAAACTAACCTACTTCCTCAACGTTTTTAACAAATAATTATTTCCAAGCAAAGTCCAATGCACTGCACGGAACTGCACACTAGATGGCGCAGTCCAACACTATTTAAAACCAGCTCTTAGATTTAATCACAATCAAAGGTCAAAGGTTGAAGACAGAAGTCCACCATACATCTACAGTGCTATTCCTCTCATAGCTCATTTGTGACATTCATAGTGCATTCATGTTAACAATAAATGAATAAAATGGTCATTTGCCTAGTAAGTATGCTGTCAGCTCAACATTAGCTGAAGAATTGCACAGGCGTCGTACTGAAACAAGCAAACAAACAACCAAAGCACCTGTCAGACCAAAAAAAACTCCACACTGGAAGCTTCTCCACTCCTATTATTTGAATTTCAAAGTGCAGTGGGAGAGAAGGAAGTAAGAAATCCAGAAAAACAAAGGAAACTAGGAAAAAAAAAAAAAAAAAGGGGGAAAAAATTCTCAGCAGTGCTTGTAAACAAATGGCTACAGTGTTAATACGTAAGCAGAAATTAAGAGTGAACTGAAACACAAGACGAGTTGATTTTCTTTTCTAACTATCTATAAAGGTAGACATGTCAAGAAACAAGTATTCTGAAACCATCAATCAACATAAAAATATTCAATTAGTTGAAGAGATGATAGAAAAAAAAGTTTCTCATAGCAGTTACCAAGTCACATATGTTCTGCACAGGGAAAAAATGAAAGAAAAACCATTCTGTTTGCAAAATACAGAAGGCTGAATGAAACATCTATCCTGAAAAGCAGCCATTGCAATTGGTGTACAAAGTGATTGAAATATTAGAAATCAGAAGCAGTCTGACCAATCAGAAAATACCAGGCAGTGCAACAGCCACCTGCCAGCACAGGACTTTTCCTTTACAGCACATTTTCCAGTGCTTGATCCAAAATGAATCAGAAGACCGTAACAGATCTGAAATTGAAAATAGTTTATAACCCAGCAGCTCAATCTTAAAATCCCAGATTGGATGCTGTATAACAGATAGCATCATTTCTCAAACAGCAGTTACAGGATTTGGACAAAAATAGAGACTTTTTCAACTGTGCCACAAATGAAGCAGCATGAACTACATCGCAATAGACAAATAAACCCATATTCATGGTGATACTATTATTTCCCCCCTCAGAGTATTCATAGATTAATGATCACAGTGACTCTTTGAGGTAGAGAAGCATAATTGAAATGGGATATGTCACATTCCTTTGGCTCCAAATAAATCTAAAGGCTGTGCCAGAACTGAGCAAAACCTGCTTCTTCCCTGGATCCAGTCCAGCATCCTAACCATCCGACTAACCATCCTTCTAGGGATAATTATATAATAAACTCTAACTGGTAGATAAACACATCTAATAAACACAAAAGGCACGATCACATGCTATTACAGTTCAGGATTCTGAATCTACTAATTGGGACTCTTGAGAAAACTTACTACCCTTCTGTTTTCTGTATTCAAGTAATTAATCAATAACCTTTTGTATAAAAGGAATTGTTTCTTTCACAAGCCAACCTTTTTTTTTCCCTTATTCTTTTTTACACTTTTTAAAGATAAAGCACATCTCTTGGCTGTTGACTGCATTTCTTCAGCCTTGACATTTGTACTGTAAACTACTCAGCACATTAGACTTTTCTGGATGTTACATCACAAAATCTTCAGGGAAAGACAGCATCTGGTGCATCCATATTTGGGTGGAATATCTGCATTAATTCTCAGCTAAAAACTCAAGACTTTGAAAAGGTAACAGAATTCCCATAATAGATAGGAAAACCTACTCTTCTAGGGAATGTAGTCAACTTTTATGAAGACCTTTCCAGTGGTAACACAAAACAGAGAGAAGGAACCTTACCAAGCATGGCTTCTTCTGTGCCAGGCAGTGGAGGATGTGATACCATGCTGCCATCCTGTACAGCTGCCAAGGTAGTCAAACATTTTCCATAGAGGCTATTGATTTTAGAAACAGAAAAGGTACTGAATTGACTCTGGCAGAACAGGAGATATTTCTTCCACAGCTCTGGATTATTGGGATGTATGAAAATTAGCTTCTGCCATTCTTTGATCACAGCTGGTGATTCCCAGAATTCCGTGCAAACACTCAGCCTGGCGAGTTTCAGATCAACATTACTTGGATTGCTTTCAATTGCCCTCTCTAAAATAGCTAGTTTCTTCTCCAAGATTAACTTCAGTGATTTTCTTCTTACTTCCTGCTCTCCCACACTGGCATAAGGGCTAGGTCCTCTCATTAATTCATCCTTTAAACAAAACAAAGATCACAACAAAATTAGGAAGAATCATCACGAGAAGAATGCTGACACTTGTGAAATGAACTAACAGCTCGTTCTATGTAGCAGATTCATAGTGAAATATAATGTTTGTGTACTTATTACTCAGAAAGAAGCAATCTGTCAATACACATACCTGAAATGAAACAAAATTCATCCAAGCCTGAATATCTCTTGGGTTTTCTCTGACTTTCTTATTATGTTCTTCCACTTTTGTCATTAGAATGGGGTTAACATTTATCCCAGGCTCTTGAAACGCCTGCTGTGTGTTTACAGGCTCATGTTCTTCACCTTTGTACCCTTTTCCTTGTAGCCACTCTGTAGTTGATGGATCATAAATCCCAAGAGGATTTACTTCTGTTGTGTCAGAAGGATCGCTGGCTTCCACATGGAAAACTGGTATAAATGCAGCTGGCTCAGATGGAGAACTTTTATTGCAAACAGGAATCCCATCTGTGTTCAGGCTCTTCACATTGCTCTTTGAGAAGTAGCGCTCAGGTCGCCTCTGCAATTGCTTCTTCTCTGATGTTGTGCTGTCCCAAGATATACACTGTTTCTTTGCATCTATGCCAAGACAGGACTCTCCTCTCCTTTTGTATCTTAGAAGGAAAAATACAATTAAACATCTTCTAAAGCACACATTAGAAAAAAATAACTCATTTCTGAAAGAAAACATGAAAGAAGTACATAAATTCAAATTGACTCAAATGACATATGCATAGAGCTTCAAAAGTGTAAGAACTTGGCAAATTTCTTCTTATTTAATGCACCAATGTAATTATTTTTGCAGTGACATCAGAATTTATACTATCACTCTAAGCTTACTCTCAGTTCAACAGTATCTGTCATGCTTGCAGAGGAAAAATTATTTTTTCCTCCTATCACTTTAAGCCATCCAGGCAGACAATATTGGGCAAAGATGAACAATCCTGTCTACAGCAAAACAAATGTTCAATCAAAATATGAAAGTGTTCTTTATTCCCATTATTTCAATTATAATTTCAATTATTTTAAGATATTTCCACCCAAAGCAAAGTTAAACTCTGAAATAAGCTGTTCAGATATTTTCTCATCTTCGTACACATTTGAATTGTCAAACATTTCACAATCAGTCTCAATTTAACAAGTCTTGCAGAGATTCCATGACAGTTTGAATACCAATACAAACAGATTCATTGTACCTTGCAATGTCCCCTCGATACAGGGATTTGTAGGCCCAGTTTGCAGGGTCTGATTTTTTGTCTATTCTGAAAGTTTCTGCTGTGAAAGCCTGGACATCATCCAGCCAAACAAAGCGGTTGCTGGTAAGATTTGATGTTTTATCATCTAGACTGATGAAAACAAGAAGTATACTGTAGTTATTCATGTGCATATTCAGCATTACAAAAACAAGAAGCATTGCATTTCTGTAGTTCACAATAACTTAATTTACCCAAAGCCATGGCACATGATTCCTTACTGCAAAGTCAGTCAAACACTAGGAAAACAAAACAACCAAGCAGAAATACACAAATAGGGCCATCAAAAGAGACCAAAAATATGTCTAGCATTTTCAAGAACTGGACTGAAAATTAATAAACAGATTTAACAAATTAATTCCTTGATAAATTATGTTTTTAAAACAATACTTTATTACTTTTCTAACTTAATTGTCTCACTAAGATGCTACAAGAAAGAAAAAGAGGATAACTTGTAAGAGGATTATAGAATCAAAGAATGGTGGTATGGCAGTAGAGGCTGAAAAATAGCATTTTGTGGTTGAGAATTTGCTCTATCAAACAGTGTTCTTGTGCTCTTTGTATCTGTTGTCGTTTCCACTAGTAAATAGGAGGCATTACTTTCGGAGCAACCTGTAGATGAGAGAACTCAAGTGGAAATTGCACTTGGCTGAGGTCTAGAGGAAACCACGAACTTCCAGTCTGAATTCAGTACAACTACTTAACTTAGTGAATGAGTTTTAATTCCTCAGAAGTTTTCAAAGCCTTCAAGATACTCAAAATAGGTCTCCAAACATCTTCAAAACTGTTTCATTATGACCATGTTTTGTTTTAAAGAACAGCACTTCACAGAATATTTTAGTCACAGTATTTCAGAAATAACCTATCAAGTGTTTCCAACTCCTTTTCATTGTTTCAAAGATAGGTTTGATCACTTAAAGCATAGGGAAAAAGACATAAACAAAACAAACACCAGAAGCAAAAATCTCATTCATTAGGCAGAAAAAAAAAAAAAAAAAAAAAAAACAACCCCCAAAAAAGTGAAAAATACACTGAATTTAGATCCTGTATAGCATTAATAAGTACATACTTTGTGGCAGCTTTGTCCTTGATATGCTTCGTGTCCAGGTCTGATTCGCTGCTACTGGAGTCCCCCTTGGCTTTCTTTTTTGTCTTAGAGTGGTGATGCTTTTTCTTTTTCTTTTTCCTTTTCTTAGTTGACTTTTTCAGACTCTCATCTGTATCACTTTCCCCTGATAAATCTGATCTTGAAGTATTCCTATTTGGAAACAGGTATATACTTAGATATCTGAGTAGTAAAACTGTAAAGAGGCATCACTGTAAGAAAGCTCATAATTATGTTCCCCTTCACCTTTGTTCTGTCTGTATTTTGGGAGAAGAGAGTTATCAGCAAGCCATTCAATGAAATACAATAAATCTGCAGTAAATAACACACAGCAATATAATAATAATGATAAACAACAAGATTTTTTTGACATACTATTTTGCAAAGTTGAATTAAGCACGGTGAGTTTATTATATCATTACTTTTGAAGGGTAATCTGTAGATTCCTTAGTTTTGTGACATAAAAACTTCGAAAATGTATTGAAAAATAGAGTACATGACTGATAAACAGAACTGTGATGGCATTTATCTCAAACAACACATGCAAATGTAAGCAGAAGCATACGGAAAGAGGTATTCAACTGTGATTCTTATAATAAAGACATTCTGTCTCATTTCCACCAACAGTCAACATGAATGTGAGAGCTTGTATCAAATTAAACATGACTAAGTTTTCATACTTGGCAGCTACAACTGGATTCCATAAATTATTAGGTTTTAGTTGTAGTCTAGATATGTCAAGTGTAGCAACTGTTCCGGCAAAGGTACTGAAATCAACCAGCCCTTCAGCAAATACGGTGCTGAGAGCACATTTTTGTAAAAGGGTAAAATCAGGCACTTCAGTGATGAGCACGCTCTATGCAGCTGCACAATTTGATACATGTAATATCTCATTAATTCACATCTTTTTAACTAGTTCTTAAAAAGTAAAATAATTCCTATACTTGACTGTGAAATGGTTGACTGAACTGGTTTTCACAGAATAATCACAGTGATGATCCTTAATCTTTACATTATTTCAAGGGCCACAGGACGTTCAGAAGCTAATGAAGAATCATCACTCAGCCCCCTTTCCTGCCAAAATAACAAAGAATTAAATGTGGCTGTGAGAAAACGAAAATGGGAATGTAATTACGTAAGTATAATTTCTCATTATTTTAAGTTAAAGGACATGGAAGTGTTATTCATACTTCTATATATGACTCAGCTCAGGACTTTTAAAATAGTGAACAGTGAAATGAAAAGCGGCGCTAAAAGCTCCTGATTCTGGTCTCACATAACAAAAGATAAGCAGGACATCAGAAAGAGGCTATTTAATGAAAGAGATACTGAAGTACATTCTACCTTCTTAGTGGTGATTTTTCAGGGGTGAGATTTGCAGCTTCTGCAGTGCGCTGATGCAGTAACAGGGCATCTTCCGTAGAGAAGCTTGGGTTACTAAGCCAGTCCAGTTCTGCAGGTAAAAAGGAGATCGGTGCAAACTAATTTGCTGTGGTTTTTTTAAAGTTGGGGGGTTAATCTAATCAACAGACAGCTAAATTTACAGCACATGTCACTAAGTCATGAGGAATAGTTGAGCGTTGGAGAGCAGCCCATCAGATTTCCATTTAGCAGAACGCCAGGTTTCAATAAGGTAAAATGTTTAGGAGCTGGAATCTTCTAGAGACATCAATCTAAGCTTTTAAAAAGACACTATGTAACAACACTTAAAAGTTCATACTGAAAGCAGATAACACATTTCATATACTGCTATATACTTGGAAAAAAATAATCTCTCCCATGCCCATTTAACATAGAAAAATTCTAACTTTGAAAGTAAATTTGAAAAAAAAATAGAGAAGGATGTAATTACATGAGAGGAGTTGTTAATGAATGTAATGCAACATATGCAAACTTAGAAAATTACAAAATACACTTTATTCACTGTATGGAAAATATATGTAACACTATTTTACTGATAGGGAAAACCATTACTGATAAGAACACTCAAATGTTTTACACAAGATCAAAGCATTTCTCTGGATTCTCAGTTCTTTAACCACTGTAGTATCATTACCCTTTGAAACTGTGTGAGAAAAGGCTAACTGATGTTCGTGTGGATGCTTTGGTTGGCGTTTAGCATCTAGACCAAACATTTCAGTCATTAGATAAGGTGCTGACAAGATGTAAAGATGTGGTTTTGCCATAACTTCACTGATATTAAAACTCCTATTTTCATAAAGGAAACATGGAAATTTCTAAGTGTGTGAAAGTTGCTAACATTTAATGAGCAATGCTATTTAGCAGAAGCACGGTGTGTAACAGCAGCCTTGCCAGTGCCACGCCATGCAAGTGGACAAAAGGAACGCATTTCATCTCCGTGCTCTTTACAACCATTTTTGCCTCCATGTTCTTCCTGTCACATTCTTGTCTTTGTGTTTTTGACTACACTGACCTCTAATCCTTAAATAGCACTAACTCACTGGCTGCCAAGCCATACATCTCTCCTCCTTCAGAGTTCTTCTTTCAGAAATATCTCTTCATACCATACTTCTTTCTCCTGTCTCGTGTCTCTGACTTGTTGTCCACAAAAGGCTTTAAAATGGAGCAGGCTACAGAGCAGCTTGCTAACCTAATATGAACTCTCAAATCCCCATAATCAAGCACGGCTCCATCCTCATTCCCCAGGAGATGGGAAGCCCAAGGAGAGCTCCTCCCAGCTCATGCTGAACCTCCATCCTGGGGCGCTGAGACGCAGCCACTCTGCCCAGCCCGACCCACCCCTGCACAGCACTCTTGTTCTCAGCTCACTGAAACCTAACAGGCAAAACTGAATGATGAAAACTCAGTCTGTTGTGATTGTGTCCCTTTGCCTGGCAACTGGAACCACCACACCTAAGGCAAATATTGCCATCCTTTGGTGCCAATCAGCACAAGAAGCTTTTTTTTTTTTTTATTTCCCTCCAAGGAAATTCCTTAACTGTTCCACATGTGAAACACACAGGACTAAAATTCTAACCTGAAAACTCCATCCCTAATTGAGATAATTTAATAACTGTCTCATAGCAGAGCGCTGCTTTGCACAGGAGATATCTCGACCAGATTAATTTACTGTGATGTTGATTTAAAAAAATTGCTATTTTCCATACGTTCAATTATTTCTGCTCACGTTGGTATTGAAGAAGCAGGGTAAAGAATACAGGAACAAAATGCAGCCCTACAATATTTTTCTGCTGGTCACACTCTGGTGTTCCTTACACACAGACAAATTTAGAGAAGATAAATCAGCCCAGAGAACTCCAGATTTAAGTAAATACAACTAATCTGTGCATAAGAACTTTATTTACTTACAGATATAAAGGATAAGTCCAATTCCTTTAAAAAGAATCCATCACTGTTCAGATTTGCATAGTATCACCCAGATCCGCCCAACAAAGCAGGGAAATTTACTGGTTGGCAGTCAGTGGTGTAAAGGCTCATGACTAAAGAACTAGAACTCATTAGCAGACAGAGCTCCTCAAAATCATTACATCTATTTCAAAGACATGCAGAACATTATCCAATTTGTCACTGGCCAGATCTTTCATAATGTACTCCAGGCAAGAAAATCTTCTCCGTAGAATTTGATAAACTGCTGTTTCCCTTTCCAATATGTAATAATTCATTCACTAGTGTTATTTATTTTGGCAGGAATTTATTGTAATATAGTTCTGTATTGATTTGAATGAAATATTATGGTTCAAAACCACTTGAAATATATTAATACCGATACTCACAACACTTAATAAAACACTGGCTTAGGCTTGTCAGAGAAAAAGGTAAGCCAAAGCAAAAAGAAGTTAAATTTCTTTCATAAGCACACAGAACTGCTGGGATGAGATCCAAAATTCAAGCCTTACAGTACCCAGACCACTAGGAAAAAAGTCTACGACATTAGAAGATGTTAGGTCAAGATCTTAAACATGTTATACATCACAAAAGAGGTTTTTTTCATTGATTTCGAAAGCATAGTATCTGGCCCTCCAATAATTAATGCAGGTAATGCATTTTTCAATATTACTTGACCATGTAAACATATTAGGTGCAGAATGCCCAAACAAGGAGAAAAAATGTCTGTACAACAGGTATGTTAACTTTTATAACCTTGAGAGTTAAGGCATTACGGTTCTAAATAATTTTCAAATGGAGGTACAGGTCCTAAGCAGCACTAACAGTGTCAGTCTGAAAACTAAAACAAAAACAAAACAAACAAAAAAACACACAACTCACTGATATATATTTCTCTTTAATTGCATTATTTGTTAAATCTCTGTTCATTTTATCAGTTTAATCAAGAAAGTAGTAAAGCTTCAGCTGCTTTAAAAGAAACAATAAAACCTGGGGCTGATCAACCATATAAATTTCCCTGAGGCACAACCCACTCTTGAAGTCTGCAAGTCACTCCCGACAGCACCTATAGCTGATCTGGCAGAAGAGTGAAACACCGTCTTTACATTTCTCTGTTTGGAAGGCTGACAGGAATCACATTCTTACATGAAGAGTGAGTTGGTGAAACTCCTGCTTTTCCTTCTCCCTCATAAGTCAGCAAACGAATCTTGCAGCTTACAAAAGAACGAAGCCTGGATTTCTGAGCTGTATCCTAAATCCTTTTTACTGCCAACTCCTGCCACAGCTTCAGGAATTACCTGGGTTCTCCAGACCCTTCTACTTCCCCACATCCCATCACCATTGCCAGGGCAGCATGCAATCTGTGCTGCACCAGATGCTTATTAGTTGGCCAATGTGTGCATGATCAATGCCAAGCAGTTCAATTCGCGTTACAGCCTCTCTTGCAGGAGTGGCACTCACACAGATTTCTCTTTTCTAAGCAACCGTAGATTTTTGTCAAATCTCTGGATTTGCCACTTTTACTTCCCACTCAAAATGAAATTTATTGAAAGGGTTAAAAATATTGAAGGGGAAAAGAGAGATACTAAGGGAGCAGGCCAGCAAACATGAGATTCACTTCCGTAGGAAATTTGCATTAAATATAGCAAAATAACAGCTACTAAAATCTGTAAGTGTTGTTAACAATGTTCTAAGATGCTGGATTAGCTTTACCTGTTACTCCCTTACTGATGTGAAGTCACTCACTAAACATGTTGCAATACACTTAGAGTGGTGAGCATAACCAGATTTCTTGATAGCTCAAATGGGTGTTTCAGTGCCTTACAGAAAGCTCACCTTGAGAAATGGGGTCATAAGCATTAATCCCTGACTGCCTGTAGCTTCATTTTACCTGAAAGATGAGATCTAGCTCCATTTTTAAAATATTGAAGAATTACACTGCAGGCTCCAACCCCTGTAGCACAGTCAATATGTCTCTGTGGGCACATGAGTGAAATGGTTAGAATTCTCCAACTACAGTGTTTTCTGAACAATTTAATCAAACCGACCGAATACTTTGGAAAGAACTGAACCATTTTTTCCATTACACAACATGCAAGCCCAAACTTCCTTGTAAATCTCTCCAGTGCATCAGTTAGCTGGATACAAACATTTCAAACATCAAAATGGATTCCAAACTTTATATGCTACCATCTTAATGTTTTCTGCTTGTCAGTTGTCAAAAAAGCTTAGTATTCTCGCAAAACAGACATATGTTCTGAGAGAACGTAACAAATGAAAGACGTAAAACATTTATTTTGTGATGCATGTACTTGTTATTCCTCTAGAAGCAATCTAATGGGGTTTTTCATACTTTCCCCAAAATAATAAAAAATAATAACAATTACAGTGCATATCTACAGGGACAATTTTTAAGAGTTACAGAGTTGTGCAAAGAACTTTTGCTGCCTTTCAGAATCCTGAAAATCTGCTTTTAGCAATAATCAGTGCATTATCTTAACTATAAAATACTTTGGATTGTAAATGATGCTGTGCATAATGCTTACATTATTGTTGGTGGGGTTAATTATTACCACTGCTCTGTTCACTACAGCTACTGATAAATTTGTAATCAAGCCTTAATCTTCACAATCTAACTGAAAGAAAAAGTATACAATATTACTTTGAACTCCAGAAGATGCTGAAATTCAACCATCTAGCAGGACAGGACGAAGTACAGCCAAACTTCTATTCCAGAGAGCACTTAGATTTATATAAACAGGTTATGAAAGCTTGTAACAATGTCAGACAGAGGTGAGAAGAACCACACAGGGCAAGAATGTTTACATTACTACCTCAGTTTTTATGATAAAACTACTAAGCAGTCCTGAGTGTATCACGTTAAAAAACACACACTCAGTGATCTCCGTATCATGATGGACTTTGGCTTCATATCAGCTCTGAGGAAGCAGAGCCCATCTATCAAAGATACTGAAGTTGCCCATCAAGTTCTCAAGTTCTCACAAGCTGAATGTGTGAAATTTGATATATGCCACCATAAATGTGGTTCTGAGTTAATACCTAATTTTTATGACTTATACTGAAACACGATACTTGAAAACTAAGTACGAAAGTGGCTAAAACATAAAACGAACAAATGACGGTTCTTAAAGCTATGCCAATATTTATACAAAAAACATCCAGTAAACCAAAATGTAACTCGTAAACAATTAAAAAAAATATATAAAAAAAAAATCTAGAAATCTAGACCTGAAACTAAGCCACTAAGCCTCAAACATCTTTTTCTATGTAACTTGATCTTCTGGACAGGCAGTCTGTGGTGACACATTCTGAATGGCAAACCTAAAGGGATCCATTATCAGAGTTTTAAAATTTAAGCAGAGGCCTCACTATTAGAGAAATCTCACTGCACCTCTGCTTGGCACAGCAGCTCCTCTCTTCCTAGAAGCTATAATTTGGGATCTTATTCAGTCCACTGTTCCCTGCACCAAGGGTAATTAGCAGAAAGGCTTCCCAGCATGGCTAATGCATCTCTGTACCAGCAGAGATTGCAGTACCAACAGCTGCAATACCATCAGGGAAATGTGGAGCTGGTAAGGACCTGGCAACAAGCTAACCCAGCCTGTGCTCCTAAAAGCCTTACAAACTCACTGTGATGACTGGACCAAGCATACAAGAAATCAACCCCAGACAAACAATTATCTTTGAGCTTCCCCTTCATTATATAGAGTTCTTTACTCATTTAATAGAAGTACAACTCACTAGACAGCAACCATGACAGTCAGAAATACAAACTGAATTATCATTTCCGTAATAGCCTTCCAAAAATGATCCTTTGCAGCTCTAAATGCGACTAAGGAAATTGAGATAACACAGTAAGTATTGTTTTTTATGCTGTCCAGGCTAGCGAGGAAAAAACACTCATTTGCTGCATAAAACAAAGCACACCTTCTCTACCAGACACAAAGCTGACTTTCCAAACAAAGATGGGCATTTCTACAGCCATGCTTCCAGGCAGAGCTGGGATCAAAGCGAGCACAACCAAAGCACAGTAGAGAACGCAGCAGGCGAGGGCGGGGCCAAGGCGAGCGAGGCCCCTCCCTATAAAGCAGCCCTCAGGCGCGCTCTCGGCATCGGTTGCGCTCCCCGCGGACCCTGAAAGCAAAGCGCCGTTGTCGCGCACAGGACCCAGCAGCAGCACAGCGGGCCGGCCGACCGGCCGGAGCGGGGCTGCACGAACCGGCACGGCGCAGGAAGCTCCCTAGACAAGCGGAAGGGCTCAGCAGGGCCGGGCCGCGGAGCGCTACTGGGAGGAAGAGAATTCCCCGTAACTGTACCTTTCCTGGAGCCCTCGCTGCTGCCGGCTGGGGCCTCCCCGGGCTCTGGGGCACCGGCGAAAGCCGGGAACAAGGCCATGTCCCAGCTCTCGCCAGCAGTACCTGCCCGAAGTGCCCCGCGGAGCGACGGAGCAAGATGGCGCTGCGGCGCCGGGCATGCTGGGAGGTGTAGTCCGCCTGCCCCAGCTCCCAAAATGGAGGCGGGAACGCGGCAATTGCTGAAGACAGGCAGGCAGGCAGGCGGGCTCGGTGCTGCGGGTGTCCTGCGTTCTCCGAACTTCTGATGGGGCTGCCGTTCAGCCCGTAGGGAAGAGTAGGGGATGAGGGTTCTACAGTCAGAGGCAGTCTTTCCTTCCCCACCGCCCAGTTTTCCCTCGTGCAGAACGCTGGGAGCGAACACTGACTGCAGGTCTGCCCGGCCAGAGAGTCCATCCCAAATGGCGCTAGCAGCGGTTTAGGGGAGGAATAACTACTCCTACATTCAGAACTGATACGTTTTCTAACCGGAGGAGACGCTTATCATATCAAATAGCATCGATGAGCAAGCCCTCCATAAAGGAGATGGGAAAACAACAAACACTTTTATTCTTATGACCTCTTGGGCAGAATGTTTAATTATGAACTGTGTGCAGTGTGAGGAAAAATGCAAGCATCCCTATTTATTTCTCTACATAATTTTACACACCATTATGATTCTTCTGGTGTTTCTCTAGTTTTTCTAACTGCTGCTCTAGTCCTGCTGCACAGCCAGAATTTCATGTAGTAATTAAGCTCTAGGCATACAAAAGATGCATATATTACAGGAAATTGCAAAGACCAGTTTGACCTCCACTGCTTTCCCAATGCCTTTTGGTGATTGTTTCTTTTTTTGCCTCTCTGAAGCTACAATATCTCTTAGGAGCTTCATGCTGAGTGTGAAAGATACTCAGTATCTACTGTGTAGAGCCATTAGGATTGCTTTCCCATGTACTATTTCACATTTAACTGCTATTCTTTAACTGTTACTTTATACTTCAATTGTGAATTACTTCAGTAACTACTCTGCCAGTATTCCAGTTGATTTACACTGACTCCTTCCCTACAATCTGCCGACTTCGTCAGCTTTACCTTCAGTGTCTTTCGCAGCCTATTGTAAATATTGAAGACACAGATCCCAGGGAATTCTGTGGGTGACTTAGTCCTTTTGAAAACTATAAAACTGTTTCTTTTATTCCTCTACATTTACTGAGAATTTTGTTGTGAACAAAATTATGCCCAGAAGGAGGCATTTGTTCAGGAACAAACAGAACATACTGTTTGCTAGAAAAGTCCATAAACTTTTTATATAAGCTCTATCAGGGTGAAGACTGGAACACTAGGTTAAAGTTTAAGAAGTTCTGAGTGATCAGAACTTCCTATTGCCAGAAAATATGCAATTTTATCCACTTTCATTTGTAAAGAAATAAAGGAAGTTTATTCCTATAAATAAAGAAATAGTCCCTTATTTTTTGGCTATTTATCTACCTTATGCCCTAGATGCCCACTATCCATCTTTTTAAAACAAGAGAGGAGTAGATTTTCCTGTAACAAAAATGTATTTCACATTCTTCTTCTACCCTCAAATCAAAACAAATGTCACATGTACTTTGACAGATAACATTCAACTTATTGCAGAATTTTAACGTAGCTTTGTGGCTTCCATAGATGATGCTTCTAGTTACTGCAGTGTATTGTGATTTTTTTGTTTTGTTTTTGGTGTCCTAGTATTACAGGATCAGATATTTTCATTTGAGGGAGAGGTAAGTAACACCCGTGATGAACTGTTCAAATGCAGATAATGAAACAGAATGTTTAAATAATCAGTATTTAAAAAAATAAATAAGCTACACTGTCTATATGAAGGAATTTTTCATGTTCTATTACCCATCATTTTGGAAGCAGTTAGGAGCTCTTCTAGATTTTCCCTGTGTTTCATGATTTCTTACGGAAAATACCTGCCAAACTGTCATTAGTCTGGCTCCCTCTCCACCCTCCAATAAAGTTCATCAAACCATTTATCCCTAGTTATTATCCTATTCCCATTTATCACAAACTTTTGTGAACATGTGATGTACCTAAGTCTAATTCACTGAGTGCAGCCCCTGAAGAGACACTTACTGTACACCTGTTCAATAATTATATTTTGAAACTTGTTTGGTTTTTGTTTGTTTGTTGTTTTGTTTTGTTTTTTTTTTTAACTCTTAGCTCCTGCTGCAGGACAGTTCAGGACCTTGATTTTCTGATGCTTAGACACATCTCTGTTTATACCCATCTGCTTCTGGGCCAGCATTGTGCTATGACTTCAAAAAACTCTTCCTTCACCAGGGAACTAACTTGGGTGTAATCCACGCATGGACAGTAACCATATACCACTCAGTCTTTCTTCCAACAAGTATTTAAAAAACCTCTCCTCATAAGAATGGTTGTTCAGATCACTTTTTGTGTTTTTTGCATACTGTGACCGATTACTACCCTAAAGCTTTTCCAATCACTTCCTCTGGATTAATTATTGTACAAGAAAATCTTGTTATTAATCCCTTAGGGATTAATAACAATAGCCTTTTATTTTGAATTAAATTTCATTTCACATCTATTATTCCAGCCTGCTAGGTCACCTGTTTTATAGGAATGATGGTCTTGTTATGGCTCTTTGTGAGAAAGGCCTCTCAGCTTTTTGTCATCAGCAAGTTTAATTAGCACAGTCTCATTTTTGTGCCACTGCCTTCAATAAATATGACTGCACCAAATGTGGGTTTAAAGCCAGTTGGAAACTCGCTCTAGTCTCATAGTACCCTTTTCAGGACAGCATTATTGTAATTCTTCTTTTCTTCAGTTCTTTACCTAACTTACATTTTTGTGCTATTTCCCATTTCAACTAATCATTTCACAAGCACATTTTCAAGTGCTTTACTGAGAAGGAAATCAGCTGGATCTACCAGGTTTCTATCCATAAAAACACTGCTGTCGTTGAAGTACACTCATGACCTGCCTTCATAAACTTGAACTGCATTTTATCTCATCTTCAATTTATATCAATATTATTATCTTCTTTTCCCCAAAAATTTGTTTTAAAGCCTCTTGCATTACTGTATTGTCTGACAGTAAAACTGCAAATACATCAAATGTTTACTCAAAGAATAGTGAAGCTTGCTATATACCATCACCACATACAACAGGTCGATTAAATTCTCTGCTGCAAACAGTAAAACTTCAAGCACTGGTTCTTTCATTAGTCACTGATGCCTCCCCAGGTGAGCAAGTTGAGCTCTCCTAGCTTAGTTTCCATGTCATAGTTATTTACACCTGTGTATACTCTATTCTAACAGCATACTTAATTTTGTCATCCCTTTCTACATCTTTGTCCCTTCTGAAAATTGTAAAATGTAATCCTTAGGTTGAGGAATGTAGCTAGATTGTATTTAACCCTGCAGCTTTAGGGATCCTCCTTTTTGTGTTAGTGATGGCGTGCTATTGGCACTGCTAAGTAGTCTTATGGTTTTTGCTTTAACTTTCGAAAGATCTAGCTCTGGGTTAGATCTGACAAGTCTTCTTTTATTTCTGCAACTCCAAGCCTCCAAATTATAGCTTTGCTTTCATTCATTCATTCCCATTCTTCATTCCAAATGGATCTTTTCCTTGTTTTGACTTTCACTGCTGGGGTGTTTGCTCATCCAGCCATCATAAACAAAATGTAAATTTCAGACTGTTTTTGCATTTCTGATTTAGATAAATTCCAGACTGTCAGCAAGTTTATGCTGCTGATTTACTCACTCCATTCAAATACCTCTACAAATTACCAAAAACTGTTGTTCTGATAATAAAAATGCCCTCCAAAACTTTAAAAATTGAAACAGCTTTGCTCATTCTTCCAGTTTACTTGAACTTTTCAACCAGGCAGGAATTGATAGGAGACTGCTCTGGTTTTATTCTAAATGCAACTAGCTCTCTCCCCACCATCACTACCTTTCTAACATTAGTCTGAAATAGCACCAGTTTCTGCCCAGTAAAAAAACACTCTGATCGTCACTTGCCCAAATATCTGGGCTGTACTAGTATTAGCAGTGCATGTTTTCCACTGCACATCTTAGTTTTTGAGTCTCTTTTTAACCTTGTCTGAAATCTTTCTCATCCCCTTGTTTCACCACCAACTGAGCTGTGATGCTTGCAGGAGATTTTCCTTTCTCCAGTCTCCATTTGTGCTGCAAAATGCCATTAATTTAGCTGCCAGCAAGATGACAGAGTTTCCTCCAGACTTTTGAAGAAAACTTAAATTTATAATAAATTCATATAAGCATCTATTATTGGTATTGAAAAGTTAATGTATGAGCAGACAATTTGTATACAATTTGTATAATGCTTGAGTTGTATTCAATGTCATTTCTCTAAGAGAATGCTGACTGCTGTTACTAGAAAATCAGTATGACTAGAATTGAAAGTAGTTGATATACACACAGTGGAAACAATCTACAACATAAAGAACAAGAATCCTGCTGTCCTGAACAATTTCAGTGCTCTTTCAGCACACTGAGGATTATTATGCTAATAAAAACACCAGCTTGACATACCTAAATCATGCATATCATCACTAAGTCACAATAATATATTAGCTAGAACTAATCTACTACACGTTTATTAAAATGAGAACCTTTGTTTTATAAGCAGCAGAAGTCCTTTTATACAAACTGCAATTATTCTACTGAATAGCTGTTACTTTCAACCTGAAGAACAGCAATATGTTGCACAACCTTGAGAAAAGGGGAATGCATAGGCAAGTACAGTTGGTAAGCACTATTAAAGCATTAGGAAATTTAATATTTATGTAGAGAAGAAAAGACATTAATTTTATTTTTATGGTCCTTCTTCAAAGATATGACCATGTTTCTTCCATACAATTCTTTTTCACCTTGCATGTCCTTCAGTATTTTCCTACATCCATTAAATTACATAGAAAACAGTTCTTTTAGCTCAGAAGGCTGGGGAAAAAAAAAAAAAAAAAAAAAAAAGCCAGCAGTACATCCATGCAATGCAATAAGGGGAAAAGTAAGGCTGATGGTAATTCAAATCTAGTTCTTAACCTAGGGCAGAAGAATTTGAATGCCATGTACCTTCATTA